ATAGTTTGATGTTGAAATGTCCATCTTTCAGAGTAGAATACAACATTGAGAAATCTTTACTTCATCAAAATTGAATATCATCAAATGTGTATAGCACATTATTAAGCATGGAAATATCTGAAAAATACTTTCGTGTTTGCCGAATCTGACAAAATATTTAGATGCCACTACGATGATATGACCTTTGTTTGTCTAGCTTTTATGTTCAACTTCACGCATAACATGTGAACGAGGAAAAAGTCTAGTGTAGGAGGAAAAATTTATAGCTTCATTTTGGCTGGAATGTAATTTGGTTGACACCGATCATTCATTTTCACAAATTGTTAATAAATTAATGCTACCACAGGAATAATAAATGTCTTCACTACAGGATTTCAGTTTCTTCTCATTTTAATTACCCCATCAATGAAATGTTCTGAGTAAATCAGCAAGTGTTTTAATCACTTTTTGAGACATACTAACTGTTAAACTCTTTAGTAAAACAACATTTATGACACATAGCAAAGTCTAAGTCAAAGTCTATTGAAATAAAAATTACAACCATGACAGAAAATTAACTATGATTTTCTGAGTGCAAGGTATCACAATATATAAGTATGGGCACGTACACACTGTAAGTAATACACCCTGTATCCTTAGGTACATGTATACGTGATTCCAACAAATAAAACACGTTATGTAAATAGTGGTTTACTTACATCGGCATCAGGATTATTATTAGCTTGAATTACTGATATCCAATCTAACATTGCTTTAGTATCGGGCGCCTACAAACAAATATCAAAACATAAATACAAATTGATGATAAACTGAACTCTTCTTTTATTTTTCCAATAATCTTATATTCGTATCAAAACTGCAACATACTGTAAAATACTTTATTTTAGCTGGAATTAATTTTCACTGAAAAAAACCCTTTGGGTGTTTTTTATGGAATTTATTTTTACTAATGTTTGGTGAGTTGAATGTAAAATATAGGAAAAAAGATATACTCGCTGGATTTTATTTTCACTGTATTATTCCTTCAGCGAAAATTAATTCCAAGTGAAAATAAAGTATTTTACAGTAAATGAACGAGTACATACCTGCAGTAAATACTCAGAACCGCTGTAAGTACATAACCTAAAGACGTTTTTCTTTTTTGTATAGTCATATGCAATGTCCACAATCGCTGATTTTATACTGATTGGGTGTTCTTCCATTGATGTGGGACTCTGTGGAATAAAGTCAGCTACAGTGTGTTAGCTTTGCTGAACTACGGATAATGAAATCATAATCATAGGTTTCAGGTGCATGTGCATTGTCAGCGATTTGCAGGTTAGTCACATCAAATAACTTCACTAGCTCATTCATACACAAATTCACACCAAAAAACGGCAATTTATTTTTCAACATTTAGCAGTATTGGTTGTGTGTTTACAGCAAATAAATGCTTAGAGTTTTATTTTATTTAAGGATCACATGTGACAATTGCTAGAAACAAATATGGTGGATATAGTCTAGTTCTGTTGACATACTTGAAAAAAAAATTTTGAGTGACACAAACAAAAAAAATGCTTTTTTTTTGGACAGAGACTACATGTGTACACATGAGCAATACTGCAACACGGTATACATTGGGATAAAATGTGACCATGCTTAGGGAGGTCATATATTGCGACCATTGCCTCACTCTCTAGACACATTTAGGGGCATGCACATATTAACTCTCCACATGGACTACATTGCATATCAAATGTTCAGTAATCACTCACAGATCTCTAAAATCAACACCGGGGCAAGTTTAATGTTCACTATAAACAACATGTCAGGGAGGAATGCATCTAGATGACAGTGAACCATGCAAGAGAGAGAAAAACAATGACGACAGTTGATTTGTACAAAACTCAGTGCAAGGCACTTCTAACAGACATTTACGAATAGTTACAAGGATAATGTTAGGTGTATGTGATAAAGGAAACTGAAGTGTTACCAACTAAGATGAAAACAAGAAAAACACGGCAAGTTCACACAACTTACCATGGCACTTACATCTTTCTTTTCCTTTGATAAGTACAACACATGTGCCTTGAGTACACCATAAACTGGTTTCCAGGATCTATCACTGGCTCGCTGTAAATACAAAAACATCAGAAAACATGGTTAAAGTGTGTACAATCACACATCATTATTCAGGCATGTCTTGTGTTGCATTTCAGGAAACAGATAATAAAGCACAGGAGAAATCATGGGTGAAAACGAGTGAATGGGTAGTAAGACATAATGTACATGAATTGTATATTACATGCAAAATAAATGACAATGTTATGGAAAGAAAATGCCACAAAAACAGTGTCATGACCATGAACATGACTATGTCTAACATATCCATAGCTACACTGTATACAGGGAAAATGTCACCATGACGTCACCATGACTGTCACCATGACGTCAACATTTTGGTGATTTATTGCAAAAAGATCACTCATTTTATAACTCTAGACGGTTATGATGGACATGTCAATCGACCCTACTGCAAATCCTGCCTCCAATCTAGTGCAGGATATTCAAATATTAAATTCGCTTTTATCATGCTGAAGCTATTGCTTACTACCGGTAATTTGTGTTCCAAGCCTTGCTTTCAGGCCCACTGCAACGTTACGTTATGCAAGATTCACGGCTGATACTTTTCGTCAAGCGAGTTTTGGAACAGGAATAATACGCAATTTCTATGGCATGATAAAAGTGATTTATACAAGCTTGCCAACATGTCAGGAAATAGACAATAACTGTCTACTTTACCTTGCCATCTTTAGCTTCTACTTTGCAATACAATTGGCCCTCTCTGGCAATATCATAGAGTCTCGATGGTGATGCAGAATCTTGGGACTTCTCGGACGCTTCCACTATCCTTGGCGTGCCTTCACCGAAGAAAGACTTCAGTTTCTTGATACTTGGATTGCGTTTATTTGGAGTTTTCCTGGCAAAAAAACAAATTTGGTTATAATTGGCATGTGAGCATAAATCTAGAAGGACATACATGTCATCAGTATTAACGAATCAATTATCACACATATTGTGATGTCATTGGTAATAACAAATCAAATATCACACATATTGTGATGTCATTGGTAATAACAAATCAAATATCACACATATTGTGATGTCATCGGTAATAACAAATCAAATATCACACATATTGTGATGTCATTGGTAATGACGAATCAAATATCACACATATTGTGATGTCATCAGTAATAATGAATCAAATATCACACATATTGTGATGTCATCGGTAATAACAAATCAAATATCAGATATATTGTGATGTCATCGGTAATAACAAATCAAATATCACACATATTGTGATGTCATCAGTAATAAATCAAATATCACACATATTGTGATGTCATCGGTAATAACGAATCAAATATCACACATATTGTGAAGTCATCGGTAATAACGAATCAAATATCACATATATTGTGATGTCATTGGTAATAACGAATCAATTATCACACATATTGTGATGTCATTGGTAATAACGAATCAAATATCACACATATTGTGAAGTCATCGGTAATAACGTATCAAATATCACATATATTGTGATGTCATTGGTAATAACAAATCAAATATCACACATATTGTGAAGTCGTCGGTAATAACAAATCAAATATCACACATATTGTGAAGTCATCGGTAATAACAAATCAAATATCACACATATTGTGAAGTCATCGGTAATAACAAATCAAATATCACACATATTGTGAAGTCATCGGTAATAACAAATCAAATATCACACATATTGTGAAGTCATCGGTAATAACAAATCAAATATCACACATATTGTGAAGTCATCGGTAATAACAAATCAAATATCACACATATTGTGAAGTCATCGGTAATAACAAATCAAATATCACACATATTGTGAAGTCATCGGTAATAACAAATCAAATATCACACATATTGTGAAGTCATCGGTAATAACAAATCAAATATCACACATACATTGTATTGTACATCTATATACAATGTATTGCTTCAATGTCATCACTTTTCCTCTCAAAAAAATTGATTTTACTGAAAATTAACCATTTGAGCACCACTTTTTGTCACCATTCACATATCGTAAATCCAAAATTTT